GCAGCAGTGATTTAGGCCTGCGTTCGCAGCCCCAGAAATCCCCTCTTGCCCGGCAGGCCCCAGTGCACCTTGATCCTCTCGGCGTTGATCTCGCCTGCCCTGCCGAAGCCTCAATTTCTTCTCAAGAAATCTCATGTCTGTCAGACAGCTTGTCCTCCGCCAACTCGATGGCTCTCCCCCCGGCCTCCGCCGCCACGCTTTCCAACTGATCGCAAATTTCCCACGCTGCGCGCACGCCCCAGCGAAGGTCGAACTGGAAGATTGCACGGCCGCTCAAGCACCATCAACCCCCACCCCCGCCACTTCGCCGGCGAACACTCTCAGAGTTACAGGCCTGCGCGCACATATCTGGCAGACATCGCCTATAAAAGGCAAAGCCAGCCTGCCCGCGATGTGCCCAAGTTGTCGGCAGAGGGCCCCTTCTTAACTGGCGGCCAGCACGCGGTGCAATTCAACGCGAAGAACGACCCCCGCAATGTTTTCGATCCATCAGAGGCCGGGCGCCACAATCTCCGACATGCCGAGGTTAGAACTACCTCGAACAATCCAGCCATAACTTCCACACTTGAACTGGACTAAACAAGTGGCACGTGCGCCATAGCCCTTGCACAAGAGGAAGGGGGAGGAGGAGGAGGAGAAGGAGGAGGAGGAGGAGGAGGTGGAGGAGGAGGGGGGAAGAGGGGGCAAGGCATCGCCCTCTGGGCCCAGCAACGGGGCCCGAGTCCCAGGTGGGGAGGGTGGGGGAGGCGGCGTGCGTCGCGACGCGGAATAAATCGGGCTGAACTGCCCCCCCAAGATGGCACGCGAATGCGGTTTCCTCTTCAAATCTGAAAGATGCAAATCGCACGCTCCATTTCACGACGCAGCGCCGGGGGGGCACTGAGCCCGCCTTTGCCGGGCGCGAGCGCGAAGAGTCTGAGATGATCCTGAGAGGCTCCGGAGAAGCTCCCAGGGGGCTCCTCCGATGCTTCTGAGAGGCTGCTGAGGACGGCGCTGATCGCACCTCATGTAGCCGAATCCCACCTCCGAATCTTGCCTGCGGCGGCCGCGCTCCTGCTCCGAATCTTGCCCATCGACGTCCCGAATGGGGCTCCGAATCGCGCCGCGTAAGGGCTCCGAATCTTGCCCGTCGACGCCTCGGATGGTGCTCCGCACTGTTAAAAACAAGACCGAAGATAATTCACCCAACTTTCGCTAATGATTCGGCCGATGTGAAACTGCCATCTTTCGGGGCAGCTTTCGGTGGCCTCGCCCGGTGGCATCTCGGGGGGCAAGCTCAGCGCGCGCGGGTGGCCTGTGTACTTGGGGCCCCGCGGACCCCGCGTCCAGAGCCCTCGACTCAAGGGCGCAGATCTCCTTTGATTCCGGGGCCAGGGCCCACGGACTCCGCGGCGGGGCCCAGGCGAGTCGGGGCCCGACCACGCGCTGCGGCATCGCGAAGAGCGCCCAGCAACGCCAAAGAAACCGCGCGCAAGAACGACATCAAGCAAACAAATAAGCAACCCGGAACATAGCAAAATTCACAGACGTTTCGCTTGGGGCCCTGTTCAGCCCGAGAATAAAGTGCTCGGAGCGGAGGGAGCACGGGGCGGAGGTCCCACTGGGGCGCTGGGGGCGCGGAGAGGAGGGGTGGTGGCGTGTGCCGCGACGCGGAATAAACTGTCGGGGCGGAGGGGGCACTGGGCGGGGCTTGGGGCAGAGGGCCACGGGGCGGGGGTCAAAATGGGGCGCTGGGGAAGGGGGGGGGAAGGTGGGAGGTGGCGCGCGTCGCGACGCGGAATAAAATTGTCGGGGCGGAGGGGGCACGGGGCGGAGCCCCCGCTGGGGCGCTGGGGGCGCGGGGAGTGAGGTGGGGGAGGTGGTGCGCGGCGCGACGCGGTACGAAGCGTTAGTGGCGGAAGGGGCAGCGGGCGTGGCCCCCGCTGGGGCGCTGGGGACGCGGGGGGGCTCGGGGCGGAGAACCACGGCGCGGGGGTCCCACTCTGGCGCTGGGGGCGCGGAGGGGGGGGGTGCGACGCGTAACGCAGCGTTCGTGTCGGAGGGGGCAGTGGGCGGGGGCCCCGCTGGGGCGCTGGGGACGCGGTGGGGCTTGGGGCAGAGAGCCACGGCGCGGGGGCCCCACACTGGCGCTGGGGACGCGGGGGCGGGGGGGGGAGGTGCGACGCGGGATTTCGCGTTCGTGGCGGAGGGGGCAGTGGGCGTGGCCCCCGCTGGGGCGCTGGGGGCGCGGTGAGCTCGGGGCGGAAAGCCACGGCGCGGGGGCCCCTGAGGACGCGGGAGGGGGGGGGAGCGACGCG